AGTCACTCAGAGTCAGGTTTTTTCTCTTTTGTCTCTTTTTTGCTTATTTGTGCCATGTTAAAGCAACAGTAAAGACCACAAACTTTATTTATGAGAGATGAGACAGATGGGGGGGGATCAAACGGAGGCTCCAGTGCTTGGGTAGCAGCACCAGGCGCACCCGCCCTGCCTGATATACTGTTTGCAAATGTCCAGTCTCTGAATAATAAATTGGATGAACTCCACGCTCGAATTACCTTGCAGAAGGACATACAGGACTGCTCCCTGCTGTGTTTTTGTGAAACATGGCTGAAGAAAGAGACTCCCGATGAGGGTATAACTCTGGATGGTTATTCTGTGTTCAGACAGGATTGCAGCACTGCTGAAAGTGGCAAGACCCGCGGAGGAGGAACGGCTGCCTTCGTCAAACAGTCCTGGTGCACAGACTGCAAGATTCTCTGTAAATTCTGTTCTGAAGATGTGGAATATTTAACACTAAAGCTAAGGCCGTTTAATTTACCTAGAGAGCTGCAATGTATCATTGTGAGTGTAGCATGAAAACACATATCCTGATGTTGCTTTTATTATTATTTTGGGGGATTTTAGGATGGGAGGGCAGGTGTCTGCTGACGTCACAATCAGCACAGGCTCACCACAGGGCTGCTGTCTCAGCCCCAAGCTCTTCACCTTGTACACCCACGACTGTGTCTCCAACCATGACAACACCATCATCATTAAATATGCTGATGACACCACCATTCTGGGCCTCATCAAGGGGGGAAACGAGTCGGGCTACAGAAGCTTGGTAAATGACATTCTTGTTTATAGAGAGAAGAATGACCTCATCCTCAATGTAAACAAGACAAAAGAAATAATAGTAGACTTCAGGAAGAACCCCTCCCCTCTGCTGCCTCTGGCCATCAAAGGGACTGAGGTGGAAAGTTCTGACTGCCACAAGTTCCTGGGCCTGCAGGTGACATCTGTCCTGAGCTGGTCACTGAACACAGCTGCCACACTGAAGAAAGCCCAGCAGTGGCTTTATTTCATCAGGCAGCTCAGAAAAGCTGGGTTGAACCATTGCCCTCTCACCCAGGCTTATAGAGGGCTGGTAGAGAGCATCCTCACTACTGGCATCACAGTCTGGTATAGTAACACCACACAGGCAGAGAGGAAGGCTCTTCAAAAGGTCATAAAGACTGCAGAGAGGATAATTGGGACTGAACTGCCTGCTATGGACACACTATACACACAGCGCTGGCATAAAAGGGCAGAGAATATCATCAGGGATCCACGCCACCCAGCTCACTCTCTGCTCAGACACAAAAACTGCACATACAGTACGTACCACCTGTTCCTAAACTTCAGTTCAGCATTCAACACAATCATTCCCCAGCAGCTTACACAAAAACCTGGACACTTGGGATTCAAAGCTTCTCTCTGCAACTGGGTGCTGGACTTTCTAACAGGGAGGCCACAAAATGTGTGGGTCAGCAGCAATATCTCCAAGACCCTCACGCTGAGCACAGGGGCTCCACAGGGGTGTGTGCTCAGCCCATTGCTCTTCACACTGCTGACCCACGAATGTGTGCCAACCTACAGCACCAACCACATTGCCAAGTTTGCGGATGACACGACTGTAGTTGGTCTCATTACCAACAATGATGAGGCCAACTACAGGAGTGAGGTGTGGCAACTGGTCCGGTGGTGTAAGGACAACAACCTCTACCTCAATGTGGGGAAGATTAAAGAGATTGTTGTGGACTTCAGGAGAAAACCTCTAAAGCATCCACCACTGACCATCGATGGTGCTGTAGTGGAGAGAGTTAGCAGCACCAAGTTCCTGGGGTGCACATCTCTGAGTACCTCTCCTGGACCAACAACACCATCAACACTGGCCAAGAAAGCTCAAGCACGCCTCTACTTCCTCCGCAAACTGAGGAGAGGCAGTGCCCTACCCCACATCATGTGCTCCTTCTACCGAGGCACCATTGAAAGCATCATCACCGGCTGCATCACTGGGCTGTGTGGTACGGAGCCTGTACTGCCTCCTGCAGAAGGACCCTGCAACGCATAGTGAAAACAGCCGGCAAGATCATCGGTGCCCCTCTGCCTTCCCTTACAGACATCTTCAACACCCGCCTCACCACACACTCCCACCTCAGACTCCTGCCTTCAAGGAGAAGGTATCGGAGTCAGACTTACAAACAGCTTCATCCACCAGGCTGGATGAAGCTCTTTGTTTCCCCCTTTATGTTATATTACAGGTAAATCTGCTGCTGACTGTTTTTTTTTTCCGGGATATCTGCTGCTGTTGGTCATTTGCAATACTGTCCATGTATACCTCATATGCTATTTGCACCTCATAACCAATGCCTTGGTGATGCTGAACCATCTGACAATCTCCTGTTATTGTTTGCACTACTGTCACTGACTGTACATGGTTTTGAGTCACAGCTTATTGGCTGTACCATTCAGATCTATCCTAATTACATCAATCCAGTTCTTATTCTATTCTATTTTTATTCTACTTTATTCTACTTTAGTTCTGTTATGGCACCCAATACTAGGTGAGAGAGAAACGGCATTTCGATTTTCTGTATGTCTTGCACATATGGTGAATTGATAATAAAATCCTTGAACCGTTAACCTAACCTTGTTTTATTTTACTTTATTTTATTGTTTTATTTAAAGTACTTTGAATTGCCTTTGTATTGTATATGAAATGTATTATAAAAATAAACCTGCCACACCTTACCCTGCTGCCAGCTGCAGCAGGCAGCTGTTTTCAGTGTTTTCTGGGCTTGTATTGTTCAGGATGCCTGAGACATGACTTAACATGAATGCCTGTGCTGCACGGTGTCTGTCAGATGTTTAAAAAGGCAACTGCCAGCCCATGCGCCATGAAAACCTTATAAGATGACAATATGTAAATATGATTTTAAGCTTGTTCTACTGCCCCTGAATTGACAAAAAAAAACAATCAATGCCACCTTAAAGAAATATTAAAAATCCAGTGGCTTACTGTTTGTAACCATGTGAATGGCATGATTTTGGTCCAGACTGATTTATATTGTTAGGTATTTTTAGTCAGATAGACATTGGTTAGACACTTCATGTATTAGAAATGTTTAGTGTAGACAGGATTGTCTAGCTCAGGCTGTTAAATGCTTTAGTCTTGTTTCACTTTTATAAAGGACTGACAAAAAAGGCTGCCAGCAAGTTATTAAAGGTAGGATACATAACAGCAAGACAAGAGTTTGAGTAAGGTTCCACACAGCACATCAACCATAATAATAATAATAATCACCTTTATTTGGCCAAGTATGTTACACACAAGGACGTAAAAGTAAGTCCATAAAACAAGATGTAGGGGTCCTACAAATTCTGTTGCGCAAAGACTTTTATTAGACCTTTATTTTGAAATGGTTCATGGATATTGCGCTGTCTTCCGGGGGTGCCGTGTGTGTGGGGAGACGGGGGGAGAGAGAAGAGAAAAGCTGCGACAAGTTTACGGAGAACGGGCGAAGTTCGATAACTTTGGTACTGTAACAAGTTATGTGTGGATCGATAACCCGCCTTAGAGTTGCATGACGCTGCTGCCAGGTCTCCGCTCGTGCTAACGAACGTGTCGTCTATAGGAACGTGTAGAGTTTTGCCGCGCTAGCTAATTATTGCATTAGT